TTCTGGTTTAATCTATTCTGTGGTAATACTCTAGAGAAAGTTTTATAGATAACAAAATTCGAATAAAAAGCCATGCCTACTTTTTTTTTTATAAAAATTAATCTCGTATGTTCTGTCTATAGACATGTATATGAATAGACTATAACCAATACAAAAGTTTTTAGATAATATTATCTTATAATCTAGTATAATATATATATTACGTGTATTAATTTGAAGCGAACTTGTGTAGCTTTAAAAAGGACTTTTGATTGAAGATTTGCTTATTTTTCATTAATTCTAAGTGATCATTTGAAATGTATACATATTAGATCATAAAATAGTATTATAACAAATAAAATAGTACAATAACATTTAAAAAGTCTTCAGCATATCCTATTTTATGTAAAGTGGATTTGTGTTTATGGTTCTATTTATTGAACATTTGTTATAATTATGTTCTAGTTACTCTATTAACAAATATATATTTTATTTTATTTTAAATATTTTGCTAAAAATTTTTTTTTTGATAAGATTGATGTTATTTTTTAGTAATAATATAAAGTTGTAATAATAAAATCAACATTAATTATAATCAATTGAAAATGCAGATTAAAAAAAAGAAATTAGTAAGTTATTTTTAATTTCCAAAGTGTAATTTATGAGTTTCAAGAAATAAAATTTTTAGGTAAAAAATTTTATTTGGTAGTTTCAATAGAAAAATACTCCAATTGGATAATTACAATTTGTGTTTTATTTGAATAATCTTAACATTTATGTTGTTGTTCATATCCGTATCACTTCAGATTAACTATACCTATGTTCCATAAAATGTTGCAATAACATAATCATTAATTTGTTATCAATTTAGACATCTTTGAAACGTAATATCGCATAAGTATTTGGGCGTATTATTAATACAACATTAATTTAGAGCTCTATTTTTAAAAATTCTAATTCCTTTTTCATTATATTTATGATTTTTATAATTTACTTCTTTAAGTATCAACAACATTTTTGAAATATTTGTTATGTAAAAGTGTAATTATATAATAAAGCAATTATTATAAATTATAAAATTGTAGGAAAATGAAAACAACACAATAATAGTACACCTTCATTAAAATAAAACTAATTTAATGAATACAATTAATCGACACTCAATTAGGCAATAAATAATCTATTACTTGACGATCCGGCCCGGCAAGGTGGAGGGTCAATCACACACTCACGATACAATTATCGGTAGGCCTTATCGCTAGATCGTTACATTTATGTGGAATACTACAAAATGGAATATTTGTAGAATACTACAAAAATCAGAGATTTTTATTTAGAAGAAATAGTTTGCAAAATAAAAAAATAATAATTTAGGGTAGCTCCACTGCTCCGTGTACCTACTTTTTTTTCTACTTTTAAAATAATTTTTCAATATTAATAAATAAAGAGATTTATTTTTTAGAGTATATATTGAGTATTATAAAAACATATTAGCCATAGTACACTATTACAAGAATCCCAAAATAATATACCTAATATTTTGCTTAAAATATAGGAGACTTTACTAAATTAATCTATCCCTATTTAAACAACATTTTTATTTATTTTCGTTTGGCCTTGTTGGCCAAGCATGGATTAAAGTTCAGTGTGGTCATCTTACTCGTGGAAAGTTTGTAAGGTATGGATGCTGCAGGAGCTTTCAAATGATCATTATATAGCTATCATCACAGCTAATACAGCTTAACCAAAATTATTAACTATAAATCAAGTGTCAACTGTGCGTCATAGATTTTCGGATCAATTGTATAATACCAGACATAAAATTTGTATAAAGGATAATCTATAAAGATATCTATGTTGTTAACTATCTCTAGAAGAACCTGCAGGTAATTATAACATTTATTTTTTCAAAGACATTATACTATAATAAAACTTATTTGATTTAATTGCTGTATTTTTCAGTGTTCAATGGAACTAACAGAAAATTTTTAGCTTCGATGCGAAGCTGAGAAGGTATTAATTTTACTATGATGTGTTTTTTTATTTTTTTTTTTTTTATTTTTTTTTTTGTGTCTGTGAACGCTCAATCTCAGCTCTCGCTGGACCGATTTTGATGANTAGAAAAAGTCATTTTCACTTGAAGGTTGAGTTAGTTTTAATGTTATTTAAAATGAATAAATCATAAATTTATATACAAGATATTTATATACAAGTAAATATAGATTTATGATAGATGTAATTTATTTCATACATTTTTTGAAATTCTAGGCTAAATCAAAAAAATTCTTGACATTTTTATGATTTCCCTGACCATTCTAAAATGGTTATTAAATATGTAAACTTTCAAAGTTTTATTGGCCAATGTATTTTTCATTTTATTGCAATTTATTTGTTTTTATATCAATTTTTCTTCTTGTTTCCATGACTACAAATTTATATTGTTTAAGTTAATATTTTTTAACAGTCACGGGCGATTTAGGTGTGACACGGAAATTTTCTTAAGCCCGAAAATCCCACAAAAGTTGCCCAAAACCTCTTTAATATTTGATTTTTTGTAGTCAGATATTTAATTTATATATCTTCACGAAAAGTTAAAAATGAAAAACAGAACCAAAAAAACTATAAGCCATCTAAAAACTGGACATAGAAAATCAAATTCCATTCTCGTTAACATACGATCAAATCCTTATTATGTTGGCAAACGTCCAAGTAAACGTAAAATTATAAAATTTTATAAAGATCTTTTAACATTTGATGAAGACGAGGGTACAAGGATTCAAAAGCCTGAAACTTCCAAGACGTTTCAATCGAAAAAGACACTTAATGTTGG